TCACCCCCTAAAAAGGCATAAAACAAGGGAAGTTATGCCAAGCTACAGCTTGGTACTTGAATGAATGCCATCTCCACATGTACACACCCCAACAAAAATCAGAGCTCTGCTTGAAAATAAAAGGGAGGCAGCCGCCTCCCCCAGACAGTCACAGCCCACCTCCAGACCTTGGTCCCACAGGCTCCGTCTGCCCCGTGAAGGGGAGCGTGCCACAGTTGGGGGGTTTTTATTTTTCCAGCTGCACCAATCCAGGGGGATCAGACTTTCCCAGGAGCTTTTTTTAGACTTCCCTCTGCCCCCCCGCTGCATGCCCACAAAGTGTCCCCCCTTTTGAAATTCCAGGGGCTACAAACCTTTTCATAACAACCCCATTCCCCACTCACCTGCTCCTCCACTGCATCATCACTGCCCCCATGATGACTTTCAGGTGCCTCAAAGCTGTCTGGGTGACATGGTCACACTCCCCGACCTCCCCGAGGCCCAACCCCACCCCCTCTCTTATTCACCCCCTAAAAACGCCCAAAACAAGGGAAATCATCCCAAGCCACAGCTTGGTACTTGAATGAATGCCATCTCCATGTGTACACACCCCAACAAAAATCAGAGCTCTGCTTGAAAATAAAAGGGAGGCAGCCGCCTCCCCCAGACAGTCACAGCCCACCTCCAGACCTTGGTCCCACAGGCTCCGTCTGCCCCGTGAAGGGGAGCGTGCCAGAGGATGGTGCCCCCTCTCCTACCCAGGCTCTGATTCCCCACCATCCCTCCTCTATAATGTGCAGGGATGGGCTCCCAAGGGCCACAGAGCTGTAGAACATTCAAGAATAAAAATAGAAAATAAAGAATGAATCCCAGTAGTTCTCTTTGTACTTCAAAGGTGTGTGTATGTTTGTATATATCAAGAAAAACACACTGTAAACATCTTTGGTTTTCAAAAACAACTGTAAGAGATCTTAGACACTTATTTACTGAGAAAGCCAAAAACTTCTACTGCTTCATCCCGCTTGCTCCGTGTCCGTGCTCTTCCTACAGGTGCCGGTATCTCCAACAGGTTTTCCAGTACTACCGTGAGATTTTGGAAACTTACTGAGAAAGCAAAAGGCTTCTAGCGTTACACTACACTTGTACGTGGGAAAAGGAGAAATAAAGATCCAATCCCCACCGCTGCTACAGATAAGGCTACTAAAATGGACCGACAGATGCTGAAGCACAAGGAGGAACACGTGCTCATGGCATCTCAACTGTCACGGCTCAGAATCCAAACACCAGTGATGCCGGCTCTTCTGGGGAGACGAGGTGCACTTGGGTCTTTGAAAGCAAAGTGACTGGTCTGTTCATTCTTACGGAATGAAAAAAGTCTCGCTGCCGAGGATTTCTACCGCCAAATCCGCCACCCGTGCGGACGCCAGCTTTAAGCATTGCGTTGGACAACAACTACTCTGTCCACAGCTCCTCGGAAGAAACACGGCCTTCCGCTCACCTGCTCATTCCAGAGTGGGAATTCACCTCAAACGCTCATCCAGTTCCAAAGGCAGCCCTGCACAGCTCCCGCAAAACAAGGCATAAACGTTTCACCAAGCTGCCGTACAACACTCGACTCTTAGACACCAAACTGCCCAACGACCACCTCACCTTTTCTGGGACCGCTTGCCAGGATGTGACCGCACCCCTCCGAGGCTGCACGCAGCACCCACAAAACCAAAAACCCAAGACACGTGCCGAGATAACGCCCAAAACCACAGCCAGCCTGCCGTGACTCCCATCTCCCACTCCACTACCCGGGCTGCTCGCCTGCCCTGCCTCTACCGTTTCGAGGTCACCACGTTCAGGCTTCAGCACCGCCTGTAAAGCACAAACAACATGGGAAGCTCACCGCTTCACCGACAACACGGCACCTGAGAATTCACCGATACTGCAGCCCACCAGTTGGGTTACTATTTCATTCATAACCCTACAAGATACAGGGAAGAGTCGCCTGTGATAATGAACCTACAAGATAAGGGGAACAGCCATCAGTGTTAATAACCCTATACGTTAGAGGGAAAATTCCCTGGTTTAATAAACCCCCGAGATACGGGGAACAGTCAAAAAACTAATTTCAGAATTAGTTTAATCTGATTGTTCCCTTATTGCCACCTCCCGCTCAAAACCATTCGACAAAGCAGCGTGTAAAAATTTTGCTACATCTTTGCGGGACGCTCCCCCTTCTGCTTGTCCGGCCATACATTTATCCCGCTGTACTGCTACCTCCTAAAACATCACAGACCAAGGCTTTTCCTTGTCCAGCTCCAGGTTTTCCAATACTTCTGGGCCAGAGCCATGCCCAGGCGAGAAAGTAGGGCATTATAGTCCCCTAATCACTCCAGAAGAGCAGCACTATATAAAGTCAGGCCCCCAGGGACGCTATAATGGGGCTCCAAGTACAGGGAACAGACCCCTTTGTTCTGCAGTAATGAGCCTACAGGTACAGGGGACAGTCCCCTGCATTAATTAAACTTACAAGAAAGAGGGAACAGACCCCTGTGTTAATAAACCTACACAATAAGGAGAACAGTCCCTGGTATTAATAAACCTACAAGATATGGGGAACAGCCTCCTGTGTCAAGAAACCTAGAAGTCAGAGGGAAGAGTCCCTGGTTTAATAAAACTACATGACATGGGGAATAGTTCCCTGTGTTAATAAACCTGAAAGACAAAAGTAACAGTCCCCGGTATTAATAAACCTAAAAGATAAGGGGAACAGTCCCCTGTCTTAATAACCCTACAAGATAGAGCCAGTTAAAAAAGAACTTCTCTATTAACGACCAAGGTTTTATTACAATGAAAAACAAAGAATAAAGTATTATGACTGTTAATGTATCTTATGTTAACCTATCTTCTGTTTGCTTTTTCTCTCAGCGTAGCCGGATATATCTTTCTAGATCTTTTGCTTTTGGCTATGCTTAGCAGAGTAATTAGAAGAGGGAGAACTGTCACGCAAAAATCTGTCTTTTACAGTGTCCACAATATTTAGATCAACTGGAATGTTGTACCTTTAGAAGTCCTCCCAGTAGCTAGGTAGCTACCTCAGCCTCACACATGTACTCTCACAGACCAGTAATCCGCTTTAGAGAGCTTTGCAAGTTAATCTAACTCTCCCTTACAAGCCTCCCTTTGAGACAGCTAAATGAGTTTTAGTTCCCTCATTTTACAGATCAACATAGAAGGTGGTACAAATGACTTGCCCAAGGTCAAAAAGAGCAGGTGTGTGTCTATGGAAATGTGCAGTTCTATCTCTTATGTTAAATCTACAATTGGACTTCTTTGAGAAGAATATTGACCTGCAAGGGGAAAAATATTTCTGCCTAGAGACACTTTCTGGGTTTTTTTGTTTGTTTGTTTCTATTGCTCCTGAAAGCCGCTTCAAGATCAGAGAATCACACACAGAGAAAACAGGCCAAGCCTACAGAGCTAGGTAGAATTCTACTGCTACATTGTAGTTGTGGATTATAGCTTCACACTCAAGATGAAGTATAAAGAGGGAGAAAAAAAGGTAGAGTGACAGGGAGAAACACAAAGAGACTTTAAAATGTAACCCAAACAGAGTTCTGTATATTTGTAAGGCAGGTGCAGGTAACAGCAACAGCAAATAAACCAATTCAGCACTTCTGAAGGAAGATGCGGTCTCCTGTTGTAAAAAGAAACTGGCTTTATTTAGTGTTGCTCAGAGGTAGCACAGATCTGCAGTGATGGCATCCAGACAGGAAAAAATAATCTTAATTAGTATTTGCTTTCCAAAACTGGCAGTTGGTCACAGTGTCAGGTCCAAAAACTTCTGGACTTCTTTTCAGAAGCAGAAGATAATCCCATAAGCTGTGGCACTTGTTTTCCAAGTGCTTAACTCTTTCAGAAATAATCTCTGAGCACGGATCACACTCCAGCAAATGGCCCCAAAGCAGCACTACAGTTCCAGGGCAGCAGCCGACCCCGCTGCCTTCCAGCGGTGCAGGCTGTACAGCACTGCAAGTCCAGGCAGGCAGCCTTGGCCAGCAACTGCTGCACAGACAAACCTACGGATTTCTGTGCAAGTCTTACTTTCCTGTGCTGTAGCTAATTTGACCATAATATCAAGATAGTCCTGACCACTGCTTCAGCTATTTAGCTGTACGTAGTTTGTTGTCATTTAAAGCTAAAGTCTCAGCTGAAGTTGTTTAGTGTTTTTTAATATAGCTGAAATGTTCTCTGCTCTCCGCATTCTGCTCTCTTTTCTACGTTCTAGAATCATTTAAAGTGCCGCTGGGTGAGGTTACTGTGACAATTTTTACACCATCCTTGCTCAGTGCTTCACAGGAGAGATGTTATTTTATTTTTTTTTTAAGTAAGATAACTTGCCTATGCAAGTAAGCAGTAGTAGCATGCAGCTTCCTGCAGCTTTTAACCTCCCAGTCACCTGCACTGAGACCTGAGTTCTCAAAAGACATCCCAACCCTCAGGTTACTTACTGCAATCAGCGAACATTGGGACCAAGATACTTTTGTGGTTAGGGTCCAGCTTCTTACAGAGAATACAGAGAAAAAGAATTGATTCCACTTCAAAACTTTACCTAATGCTTGGCACAAAAAGGCCAGCACCTGCTTCTATGTGCTTGAGAGCATTTGTTTCATGTCATCGCCAGAAAATCTAATATCCTAAAGTGCTTTTGCTTTGCCAGGTCAAATAGCAGAAACTGAAAATAACCTCATAGATTGTAAGTTTAGAGTCCTACCTTTTTACTATTACTGTTAGGAAAAATAATTAAAGGTAATTCTTTGTTACTTCACAATCTAAACTTAAGACTGCAACCTCCATTTCTATTCTAAGGCCAGAGCTTCTGGCTGTTGTGTGAGGTCCCAATCAAAGGTTGCTCCCTGCACAGGTGCTTTAATTCTCCAGCTAGGAAGGGGAACTGGTTGCTACTAATCTCAATCCTTAAGTGTAAATATTCCAGAAATTGACATTAGATTGTGTTCACAGAGCCATCATGAGGGCAGCTGAAACATCGGCGTTCTAGTCTTGAAGTCTCTCAGCAGTGCTCTTCCCAGAAGCAGCATCGCTGCGCTCAGCCAGGTCCACACTTGAGGTCTGCGCTGCTCAGTCCCAGTGGATGCCGAGGAGCTCACAGCTCACGCTCCAGAGCTTCTTTGCTGTTTCATCATCCCGACCCCGTGACGATACATATGCTGGCTGGCAGTCACTGTAAGGGGAACATTTGTTGGTTTTTGTTTTAGAATCAAAGATCTCTATCTGTACTAGCACACCGAAATGTTTGTGGGAAGATAAGGGAGTTGCTTTCTATCATCTTAACTTCAATACCAACTGAAGGAGGGTGGGAGACTGTCCTGCAAATGAGCAAGGGTTGGTGCTACGCCACCTTGAGAGAGCTTTCTTTCCAACTGGCTAGGGAAGAGACTTTCCCCATGGCACCAAGAACTGGCAAGCAAGTCTAGCTTGATCTGTTGTCTCAAATCTTAAAGAAACCTATATATGCTCGACTGTATACTCTCTAGTGTACATTCTCATTAACACCACTAAAAAGGGCTATAAACAGGTGCTTCAGGAGCACCTTTTCTAGCAAACAAAATAAAAAAGCCACTCGAACAGCCCTTCATTCCAAACTATTTATCCCACGATATTGCCGTTGTATGAAAAGCAAAGCTGCCCCAGAATAATAATACTGTAATAACCACATATGGCTATCCCCTCTTCCATTATCCTCTGAACAGTGGCTCCTTTCTTCTCAGCTCCTGCAATCAGATAGCCCTCTGGCTGGACTAGGGATCATGTGTCCTCAGCTGTAATGCTGCATGCTCCATAACATGGGAGTTTAAGAAAACAGAAAAATTGCATCTAGTAAAATTTCTGTCCAGCCTAGTGTTTTTTAGAGCTCCAAGTGCAGAGTCTCTGATATTCCTGAAATGTTCCACTTGTCTTGCTGTGGCATGCAAATTCTTTTCTTTATGTCTCTACTTGTGCTCTATATTATATTGCCTGGAAAGTGAAAAGGATTTTAGACTAGTACAATATAAACTGTTCAAGCTCTTCACTTCCCACCAAGTCCAAAATGCCTTTCTTTTATGAGTTTAAAATCCGCCAAAGTTTTTTGTACTTCAGCACATAAATGCTCCATTTATATCCTGGGACAGGCAGTCATTCAGGGAAGATTAAGACATCTATCTATTTATATACTGAAGTCTGATTAAGATGGTACAGACTCCCACGTGATGATCAGACAAAGTCATTGCAGCAATTAATCACAAGAGGAATGATCTGCAAGGAAGCAAAGGTTCCTACAGAATCCAGGTGAATTGGGAAGAAAAAAAAACCCAACAAACTAAACAAAACCCAAACATCTTTTCATGGTTTCCCAAAACTAGTATTGTTACACTGTTCTGCACCCAGTGGGAAGCTGACAGACATATCTGAAGGAAGCTGTTCAAATGGTAGGCTTTCAAATCCAGAATTATGACAACTTGGAACTGCTCTGGGATGAAGTTTTAGTGAAGAAAAAAGGCACGACTATGCAAGGTCTCACAGTAAGTCAAAAAAGTCAAGAAACAACAGGGTTTATAGTCAGAGCTACAACAGACAGTTTGCAGGACAGAGTGATAAGCACCCCAGCATAAGTCCCCCCCAGCTGGTGGCTCTGTCACACCGAAGAATCAAATTATTTTGTCGCATGCCAGTCCTGAAAAATCTCACCTCCTGACTCTACAGCACCACCAGCCCTCCCAGCTCCCTGAGGGCACAGGCCCTTTCTGCTCTGGTGGGGTAAAACTACAAAGAGAACCAAAGTGGTATTCCCAGGATTGACTCGGTTGACCTCATTAACTAAACAGCTCTACTGCAAAGTTATTTGCCCAAGTCTTAGGCAGATCAGGATTAGAGCTCTGAGCATGTGACAGCCATGCCTGCACTTTGAGTACAGTGACATTCCTAGCACTAAAGGACCTGCTATTGTGTGAAGTGTTGCACAGGTCAGGGATTTCTTCTAATATGGTATCCACTGCAACAGATGTGGAAAGGATAATGCTCTGGTATTTGTCACCCTCAATCTTATCAGCCAGCCTCTTACCCAGTCCCTTCTCAATGAAGAATGACTGTAAGTCTCATTCTTCTCAGCCAGCAAGGCTGCCTGCCAGAGTACATCACTCCATCAGCTTGCACCCACCTGAAATACTGTCCTGTCACAGAGTCTAGCTCTTCTGCTACTGCACAGTAGACACTGGTCTGAGCTCCCTCCTGAGGTGTCTTCAAGAAGAACGAGAATATGTTCCACAGCAGCGTCATTACAAATGAGTGCCGGACCAGCTGAGAATGGACAGAACCAGGATGGAGAGCATTTGCTGTGACTTTAGTGCCTATGGCAAAAGAAAGTAGTTCAGGTCAAATCTGCATGCATCAAACTGCCTTTAAAAAACAGGGTAAATGTACTCCTCAATTCTACCTGTAGATGTTCTGTAACTTAAAGGAGTCCAGGTGTGGATATAGGGAGAACAACTGAAATTCTCAGCAGTTACTGATTGCTGGAGTATCCCCCCACTCCCTTCCACATACTGCAGTCACTGTATGCCTTCAGCAAAACAGTGTGCTAGAGGACTTGGCTGCTAAAACAGCAGCAGTTTCCATCAGGCTTTTGAGAACACATGCTTCTTTTGATTTACTGTAATACTAATGTCCTAAAGAAGGCACTACTACTTAAGTTTATGAAAAGGACTGAATGACATGGCTGTGGCAGACATTATGATTTAAGAGGTACTGTCCAGTCCTATGCTTCTATTTTACAGGCCATTGACACTTCAGGCAGCTGAGTACGCCTCAGCTTTTCCATTGCAGACTGCAATTGTAGATCAGCTCCTTTTTTTTCAGCTTCCAGCCGCATACTAAAATTGTCTGCGTGGATGCAGCCGGTATTTTACAAGCACCAAAGAAAAATGAAGTCCACTCAAATGTGCCAGGCTACAAAACTCCTCTGTCCTGTTGCTGTAAAGACAACTAGTGCTTGAAGTCTCCTGGTTCCACAGACAGGATATACTTTCTTCCTGCATCAAAGAGCTATCAGTGACCCCTACCTCAAACCATTCCCCTTCTGCATAGCTAATTCCCAGACTTTTCTTCAACCCACTCTTCTCATCTGTGGTGCTCAAAAGTCAAGTGGAAAAATACCCTGCTCTCCTCTGGGACTTGCCTTGCAGCCGCCTCGCCAGCTCCCGGGTGAAGAGCACGTTGGCCAATTTGCTGTGACAGTAGGCGAGGCCACGATTGTAGCTCTTCTCACCATGGAGGTCATGGAAGCGGATTCGGCCTCCGTGATGAGCCAGCGAGGACACGTTCACTATGCGGGCTGGGGCAGACTGCTTCAGACGCTCCAGCAATAGGAAGGTCAAGAGAAAATGACCTAGGGGTGAGAGGTAACGTCATCCTTCTCTGAAGGTTCCCCTACTGGGATTTCAAAGTACTTTCAACATAATACTTACATGGTATAGCTTACTGCTGCCCTCATTTGAAATCCAGGGAAAAGAAGAATCCCCAGAATCAACAGCTAAACTGTTATAGGGCCATTAAGTTCTGTTCCTCAGCTTCAAACAGCTGGAGCTGTCATACATTTCAAATGTCCCAGGTAACATCTACAGATACTTAAACTGGGTCCACGATAAGCAAATGTATCACATTACTCTTTCTCATGACACTTGAGCTCTGAGGAAACCAGCTTCCATCTCCAGAACTCTAACTCTGGCCTTCTATTCTTTCCCAAAAATGAAGGATGAGGAAGAGAAAAGCTGGAAGCAGGATTTTCCTCTGCCACTCTGCCACAGATCTTGAATGAAAACATGACTCCACTGGCCTTACCAAGATGGTTGACGCCCAGGTGCATCTCAAAGCCATCAGCTGTCTTGGAGTAAGGGCATAACATTACACCAGCATTATTAATGAGAATATGGAGTTCCTTCTCCTCTGCAAGAAACAACAGACATCCTTAAACAGGGAAACAGAAACAAAAGATAGACAAGAAGGCGGCACAAGTCAGCCAAAACAAACCCCCCCCACCCGGGGGCTGTGTGTTGCAGCCACATTACCTCAATAAAATAAGTCTCCTACCACAAACTAGCTCATGACCTCTGACAAGCCCCTGCTGTGAACCACAGTAACCAACATGGTACAGAGATATGCAGATCAGAGTTATGGTATTTGCTAGAAGAGCAGACAAGAGTCCTTAGCAAAATAATTTTCACTGAAAAGAAGGACCCGGAGTACTGTGTTCAGCTCTGGGGCACTCTGACATAAGGCAGACACAGACCTGTTGGAACAATTCCAGAGGAGGACCATGAAGATGATCAGAGGGCTGGAGCACCTCTCCTATGAAAACAGGCTGAGAGTTGGTGGTGTTCAGCCTGGAGAAGAGAAGGCTCCAGGGAGACCTTATAGCAGCCTTCCAATACTTAGAGGGGGCCTACAAAAAAGCTGGAAAGGACTTTTTACAAGGGTAATAATGGCTTCAAACTGAAAGAGGGCAGATTTACATTAGATATAAGGAAGAAATTCTTTACTGTGAGGGCAGTGAGATACTGGAACAGGTTGTCCAGAGAAGCTGTGGATGCCCCATCCCTGGAAGCATTCAAAGACAGGTTGAATGGGGCTTTGAGCAATCTGGTCTAGTGGGAGGTATCCCTGCACGTGGCAGGAGGGTTGAAACTAGGTCATCTTTAAGGTTCCTTCCACGCCAAACCATTCCATGATCTAGAGGCTGTACCTGCTAGAAATTTTTCAGCAAACTCCCGGATAGACTTTGTATCAGCCAAGTCCAGTTTTTTCACAATGACTTGCTGGTTCCCTGTTTCAGTTCGGATTTCACTGGCTGCAGCTTCTGCCTTCACCATGTCTCTGCACGCGACTATCACCCTCGCACCTGCAAGAGAGGGGAAAAAAGCAGGAACAAAAGCTGAGATGACTGGAGCATACTGGATGATCACACACTGGGCTTTGAAGAAATTGGCATCAGTCAGGGGAGCAACTAGGAGGCACAACCCCCTTCCTGCTATGTAGTTAGCTCCGATCCAAAGCTGTTTCCAGACCAGGAAAATGCACATCTCAAGTGCCTCTGCCCAGGTTCTCCCAGGTCAGGAGTGTGTACCACAACGCTGGTTATAGGGTTATATCTGCCCCTATAACGGCAGCATCAAGCCAGGAGCACATGAAGATACCTGCATTCCAGCCAGAGTAATTTCTAAACGGATTGTGAGCAGGTAGTTTAATCTCCTTACCACTTACCCAAAAAGCATTTAAACCAAATTAGCTTAAAACACAAATAGCTAAAGCACTCAGCAGTGGACCCGTGGCATTTCTCAACTTTATCCAAGCACACACACACAGAATCGCTCGGTTGGAAAAGACCTCTGAGATCATCACGTCCAACCGTTCCTGTCTACCCCCTAAACCATATCTTTAAGTACCTCATCTACCCGCTCTTTAAACACATCCAGGGATGGTGACTCCACCACCTCCCTGGGCAGCCTGTTCCAGCTTCTGACGACCCTCTCAGTAAAGAACTTCCTCCTTATCTCTGACCTGAACCTCCCTTGGCACAGCTTGGTGCCGTTTCCCCTTGTTCTATCCCCCATCACCTGGGAGAAGAGACCAGCACCCACCTCTCTGCAACCTCCCTTGAGGCAGTTGTAGGTGGTGCTGAGGTCTCCCCTCAGCCTTCTCTTCTCCAGGCTAAACAAGCCCAGTTCCCTCAGCCGCTCCTCATCAGGCTTGTTCTCCAGAGCCCTCCCCATCCTTGTGGCTCTTCTCTGAACACACTCCAGAATCTCAACATCCTTCTTATAGTGAGGGGCCCAGAACTGAACACAGTACTTGAGGTGCAGCCTCACCAGTGCCAAGTACAGGGGGATAAGCAGAATCCAACAGTATCAGGAACTTCCCCAGTCCTGTTAAAAGCGCTTGCAGTGCGGAGCACTTTCATGTCACAGGACACATTTCTGGAGTTCAAGCAATGAAACTGACTGAGGGACTGGGAACTTGCACCTAAGTGGTTACAGCCTCTGGAGAAGCAACACTTGGGTCTCCTCTGATATAACTCTGGAATCCAAATAACTTAAATGGGAGCATAAAATACCCCTCCCTTAGATCCAGAAGGGAACTACTGATGCCCAGGCACACACATCAGCCACACGGGGATGCCTGCGGACAAAGGCTGGCGACTTGACTTGCCTCTTCGCGCGAGTTCTCTGGCAGTTTCCTTCCCGATGCCCGTGTTGGCTCCTGTGATTATCGCCACCTTCCCCTCCAGCTTTGCTGTTGACTGACACTGTCCTCCGGCGACATACCTCCTGCAAGAGAGGGCGGCAGCGCTCAAGGGACGTGGCCCGGGGCTGCTACCCTCCTCAGGGGACCCAGGCCAGGGCTGAGAACCTACAGCCCCAGTTTTTTTTCCTCAGGGCCCCGGGGAGTCACGAACTTCGCTACCCGAAGAAGTTGATCACGATCGTGTCGTGACCGGGACGCCGACACGTTCCCCCTCACCCTCCAAACCGCCCCCCCC